CCTTTAGTGTGGTTCATTCAGTTTTTTGAAAATCGAGTAAAAAAGGACTAATTTCGGATAACAGCCTTTTGTAGCACTCTGAAAACTGTTTCGTATTATATGTTTTGGCAGTTTCAGACTCAAGTTCAGTAGCATCTTTCCTTCAATGACTTCAATTCCTGCCGGACTTGAAAATTTGAATTTATAGCAGTTGTAGACTTGAGTGATGGATTTGACCTAATACTTTAACACCTTTCCTTGCATCACTTAATAATTCCTCAGGGCATCCTTACCCCTTCAATTTGTTTGTGTCATTATGCTTTGTCTTAAAATATGTTTTTTTTTTCTTTCTATTGGAGTCTTTCTTAAGCTTGAAACTTTAGGCATTCTCCGTCATGAAGGTACTTTCAGTTTAGTTCACAGAACTTGTAAAATTCATCTTATGTTTATCCTTTTATGATGTCAATATTAGGAGTGGTGCGAAAAACAAATGGAGTTCTTTCTGAACTTTGGCAGGCCAAAAGTTACTAAAGCAATGGAAAGAGGTAGGGCTTGTCATATAAAGCGTGAAGAAGAAGTATACTTTTAAACTCTATATATCATTAAAATTCTATTGTATGTGCCTGACTTTTTACCTATTTTTAAGATCTATAGATCATTAAACTTCTTCTGTTTGTGCATGCATTTTACCTACTATTGCCTGCCAGGGTCTTGTCATAGCTTTTGGAATGGTTCCTTTGCTTCTTAGTACTATGACTCGTTTATGAAAAATTACTTCATTTGGTCATGAACAGATGCTAAAATTTGTGATCTGAAGTGATGATTCCAGCCTGTTTAGTATGCCATTCACTTTTTATCCATATATCAATTAGATGCTAAGGAATCATATAATTATTTTATTTATTATTATTATTATTATTTGGGTATGAGAACATGAGTGCTTTGTTTTCTCTCAACTTGCAAAATGAAATTACTTATCAGCAGCTCCCGAGCAGAACAACTTGTGTGGCACTCATGGACTAATGAACTTCCGATTCTCATAAAGATTTGAGAGACCAATGTGTCATATATGCCTTTCTAAATGACATAAATTTACCCAAAGCAGCATCAAGTTTGGAACTGTTTATCAAAACTTTTAGAATAAAACACAAAACATTATTACGTATGATTTTTGTTAAGAAAAGCGAGAGTCTGAACAACTCCAACTGATTTACGTGAGTAATGCTTGACATTGTGATAATATCATTAATATTTCCAACGCTCTTATTCACATAAAATCAATCAAATTTGTTCAGACTCTATCATTACTTTTTTTTTATTGAAGTATTTTTTTTTTTTCCTTTACATCTTTTGTAATATTATTTTTCTCTCCTAATGGCAGGTTGTAAAAAGAATAAAAGTTCATGTTGAATCAGGAGAAGATGTATGGGCTGTAAAATTTATGAAGTCTATACTTGGTGCAAATCAATTATTGCTTGAACACGCGAATTACCACTGTAAGTTGGTTGTCAGGCTTTTAATATTCTTTTATCTTAAGTTCCTCTTGTAGGCAATCTTTGTTACTGCATGCTAAGGATTAGGAACTGACTTGGTTCATATTATTGGGTTATATTACCCTGAACATTGGGCATGGAAAGTATAAGATGCTTATAAGAACAATAAAAGGGGTTTGTAAAAAGCTTGGTTGTGATATTGTGCTAATACTTTTATGAACTAAAGAAAAATATTTACCAACTTTGCTTGTGGATTTTTACCTACAACTTATTCAAATGAGTCTGAAATACATTTGATCTGTTCGGTAATGTTTTCTACTGTGCTCTTTTGGGATACTTTTATAATAAAATTCTTTGGGACAGAGTGAAAGAACTGAAGAAAAATTTATCAAATGGAACATCTTTCTTTCTATGATGTGACAGAATTTTAGAACAAAAACTGCTATAACTTTTTCCCTCCAAAATTTGATGAGAGATAATGTTTATATGTCTATTTTCGGGCTTTTGGCTTCACTTTTTTCACTTGTTCTTGTTTCAACCCTCCCTCCTTCACTCTCTTGACTGGAATTCGGGTTTTCTTGTTCTTAACCAGAATAGGCTTTGTAAAAGGTGTATGGATGGTGGGAGTGATTGATGAAATCCGAATGCCTATCACAGAAAACGAAAGAAATCCAATAGTAGTAGACATGAAAACTCGTGTGCAAGCGACAATTTCATCTGAACCACAGCGAAGAAATGGAAGGTAGGTTCTCATGGTTTCTGTTTTATTCCATTGATAAGAAATTGGTACTAATACGTAGGACTTTTTTCAAGAAGCATAATTAGCCCTGTTCTCTCCTTTTAGCCAGGTATATTTTATTTGTCTGAGATAAAATGAGAATTTCATGAATTATGAAGTCAACATTTGTTTTGGCAGGCTTCAATTAATGTGCTACAAGTATTTGTGGGACAATTTGGTTTCTGATAACTTCCCCTCCAGTCAATTTTTTGAGTTCTTTACTTTGAACCCCGATTACATTTTATCCAAAGAAATCAGAGAACCATTGTCTTCATTACATTCCAATTCAGGCTTTCCGGCAGAGGTAAAATTCTCTCTTCATCCCAAATTGTCCATTTATGGATTTATGTTATTTCCAGAAAAAAAAAAAAAATTTAGGACGTCGTAGTGCATTATGAGCTGATTAATCTTTTACATGTATTTGAGATATTAAATTTATGAACCATTGTCTTCATATCTCCCACACTGCTTATTTGACAAGCCAATCGTAAGCATTCAAGTGTGGAGGCACCTCTAGATTTGGGAAATGGCCAAACGTTCTTGACTCTATCATTACTAATATACTAATGGCGTACTAAATATGAACTATGCAAACCACGCTTCAACCATAGATTTGAATCCCTTTCTAATTTGTTAATTCATAACTAGTTTATTATATCATCATTCTAAGGAGTGTGTTGGTCATTTGTGGAAAATTAAATCAAGTTACATACTAGTATACCCCTTCCCTTAGGTGAGAAGCATCCATTTGTTGTATTGTTAATGGTTCATCCAAATATATTGTGGCATGAACTGGTTCTTGTGTAGTGGTGAACAATATTTGGTCAAAGATCGGTCATTTCGTATTTGGAGGGGGCCCCAATGTGACCTCAGAATAAATTGCTTGGAACCAAGTCAGTCAACAATACCAGGTTTGCCTGATTCCTCCACGTGCATGTAAACAGAGCCCCTCCATACACCACAAAACATGTACATGTGTGTGGAAAGACTGAAAAAAAGATATACCTTCTCCATTTATAGATATGTAGCCCTTCCACATTGTGCTTTACTCAGTTTATCCCATAAAGTCATGCTATATAGTTAGTTTTGCGTTTGCAGACCCTTGATGATCTAGTGAGGTACTTCAGGAATACGTGGTGCAAGTTGCCTCCTGCTCATGACCAGCTACTATTGAGGTGAGTACGAAGTTTAAGGGTAGAGATAATTCTTTTACTTGTTCCCACATTCCTCTTTAACAGTTTTTGGGATTTCTGCATTGCTGGAATGCTTTTATGGCATACTAAAGATATTATTGTGCATATAAGTTGGAACCCATCTTTTTAAACATCATCGTCGTCGGCCTTGCCTTTTATCCCGCACAAATGGGGTTGGCAAAATTTTTATGCATGTGTATTTTAATTAGCTCAAAAAGTTTTGTTGTAGCTTATTTCTTCAAAATCCACACCGATTTACAAGAACATTATTTGGACAGATATGAATTCCAAAAAGATCAGTCATTGCTTCGCGAAGATCAGTTTGCTTATGATTCTGATTGGCTCAATGGTCAAATTCAGTGTTCTCTTGAGTTCTGGCAGGGAGAGCGAAAAGCCAATTACACACCTGAGGAGGAGCGTTGGAAATGCAAATTTTGTGAGTTTGCAGAAGTCTGTCCAGCAAATATTAGCCGCCACGATACACCAACTTAAAAAAAAAAAAAGACATTAACATTATTCTCTAATGTTGATCAATTGTCCTTCAATGATAGTAGTAATTGCATGAATATGCTTTTCTGCGAGGAAGCTACAATTCTAAACAAGCTTCTTTGTGGTATGTTCACTAACCGGATAGGTTAGCTAGTTGTGTAGGATCATGTATTATTATCATTTATGTAAGTAGCCTCTTTTTGTAGGCTGTGATGATACATTGTTGCAAGAGTTTATCATTACCCATCAATTTTATTATGTATGTAATTTTCAAGTCATAATATTGCCTTCGCTCGTGTATTTATAATGGGCTGTGAGATTCATTCTTCGGAAAAGAAAAAATGAACCAAGGAGTTTTAACTATAACTTTTTAAATTGTAACCTGTGCAATGTCTGGGATGCTTGTGATATTATATTATCTATTGCATGCTACAAATTTCTTGCCATTACGGTCAGATACATGGAATTTTTTTTTTTTTTTTTTTAACTAGTTATCTCTCCTATAATGTTTAGCCTTTCAGAATGCTACTTTCTATTCAAATTGTTTTATGTAAACATTACGATTTTATAATAAACTGTTGTACAGCTTCTCTCCACATCCTCCTCCTTTCCCCTTTACTTTTCATAACAGTATCCTACTTTTTCTACCACTGAGGTTAGGAGTATTCTTTTCTTCAGTTTTTTTTTTCGAGATTCTGTGTTGAACTGACTTGAGCAGCAAACTATCAGTTCAACACAGAATAAAACTAAAGCAATCTTTTCTGCGAATAACAATCATGGTAACTTTGTACAATATAACACCAAACACAATAACCCTTGCTAGTACTTTTTACAGCCATAATGAATATAAATAAGAATTAGAATGTTCACAGAAAGAAAGACCGAAACCATCAAACCATGAAACAACATTCACCACAATTTTATGGATTTACTATTACCTAGTTAAACCATGGTCCAGGAACGTAGAAAGGAAAGCAGTGAAAGTTTATCACATCAAGACAAAAGAAGAGGAATCAAGCTGAGAATGTCAAAATGCATAGAAGCCATATAGAAAGAGACAAACCAACAAATCAAAATTATTTGCTTCTTTTTTTTCTCCTCAAGATTGTTGTAGTCCATAGACATTATACAAACTTGTATACGAAGAATACATATGCTTTAATTGTTTTTCTTTCTTTTTTTCCCAATTTTGATAGCCTAAATATACAGATCTCATTGTGTTTCACTAAGATCCTACAAAAATTATTCCCCATTCTCTTTACATATCACCTGCAAAGCTTGTTATGCATATAACTATCCAAGCCGCAGTATGAACCAAAAGGGGACAAAAGGACAGTCAGAACTCAGAAAAATTCCAATATGCCATTTATTGTGATGGGTGGGTCGATATCAATACGAGCAGCCTTCCCCTGAGAATGCAGTTGTGGCAACATGTTGGCATCTTTGGCCGTAACTCCTTCACCAGTCCATAAGGTGACATGGGGCCACTCGTTTCTTGAACTTATCTTCTCGCCATCAACAGAGCCTAGGCGTGCTTCCAGTGAAGCCAATTTATCTGAGAAGAGTAGAGCTGTCATATCCACGGGGACCTCCCGATTGAGATACAAACCATAACTTGCTACAGCTGTAACACCATGACTTCTCTTGTGGGCAAGCGTCACGTGAGCCTTCTTAAGAATGCCCTCCATATTCTTGTCCTTGAGGAAGGCTTCAACCTCGGGAATCTTCTCAGCCAACTGCTTAAACAGGTAAGATGTGAACAAAATAAATTATATCACGATGTGCTTGAAGTAACTAAAACAAGTTAGAAGTATCATGATGTGCTTTAAGTAACTGAACAAGTAAACATTTCAGGTGAAAACAAAATTACGATAAAGGGGGCCTGAGAGGGGGATAAGTGTAAGAACTTTCTGTCAATATGACGAGTAAAAGGAGAAAAAGAGAGAATGGATAATAATATTCAAGATCAAGAAGGGAACTCGTCAATGCAACAGTACAGAGACTGTTGGCTCCCAATCAGCTAAAAATAATGGCCTCCGTGTTGCCAAGAAAACTTTCTTTCATAAGTTATATCCTCAATTCATCACTAGCTGGTGTGGTTCATATCCTCCATTCACTAAAGGTATATGTTTTTGGTGCGTCACCTCAATTGATCCAACCTTCTCAATTAGCTTGGTCCAGCAGAGGATCGTGCTAGGGTCTTCATGGCGATGGTTTCTTTTGTATCAAGTGTGTGGCAACTAGCAGTCTTGCAGAAACTGATAAAAAGAAAAATAGCCCACAGCTACCCTTCTATGTTTACAAAGTAAAATTTCTCAGGCCAGGTCAAGACTTAAATTGAAACATTACAAATAAACAAATAAAATCAAACCAACGTTGACACCCTGCCTAGGTTGAAGGCCCAAATTGCAGCCAGAAAACAGATATTGACATAATTTGCTCAAGAAAATGGTACCCGCTCCACACAATTCACCCAAAGTACGCGAAGTAGGGCAAGAAATTCAGTAGCATTGTCTATACAAGGTTTTGTCAATTCCTCAGGGAAACTCAGAAAATGGACGAGAAGGCAAATATTTACTCACCTTATTGAGAAGACTATGGATTTCACTGACAGAAAGGCTGACAGCAGCAAAAACAATGGTCCCCAATTTCCTCTTCTCAGCACTTGGCACTGAATAACCACCCTTTGCAATAGTTCTTAGTTGTTCCAACACTTGTTTAACAGCAAACTCAAATGGAACCTGGAAAGATAAAAATTGTGCAGAAGCTATGTTGATCACCACAAGCCAGTTACAAGAACTCCAATTACCAAAAAGCCATTTCATCCATTTCTCGCTTTGGCAGAAAGGAGGAGGCAAGGAACTGAAGTACTTAAATAATAGTTTGTAGGTGTGTAAACATGTTACACTATGTTACATAGACCTGGATACGTGTGTCGGGTATGGATATGTATCCACGCATCAGATGTGTCAAATTTCCAAACAGTGGGGACAGCTAAATATTCATGTTGTATACTATTTTTATTTTTTTATCTAAAGTAAGATGTTCTCTTGCAACATAGTGTCCATTCACTCATTTTAAAGGTAATAATATAATAAAATTGAATTAGTAGATATGCTTTTCAAGTGCATGTCCAACAAAAAGTGTCGGACACATCCCATACCCATGTCCGAGTATCGTGTGTCTGACACGGGTACGTCACTAGTTTTGAAGAGTCCATTTAACATAGGTGTTATAAGTGCCACATAAAAATGATATTAACTTAAGTGGATTTTGAAGATGGTCAGGTGAGTGCACATAAAATCAAACTACTGATCTAATACATAAGTTAAATTGAAGGCGATATGGAGCTATAAAACACAAGCGCTACATATTAACCTGTATAGAATTAAGATATTCAGCATTGCCAAATAGAACCTCTCGTAATTGCTTCTCCCATTTAGCCCAGTCCTTGATATATGATCCTTTGGTGGAATCCAACCTAGATTCAGAATTGGAAGGAGAATAGTAAGAGCGTCTCACCACTAATAATTGGAAAAGTAAAATTGATGAACATAAAAGTAATCCTAAGACAAAAGGTCAGACGCTATAAATAACCACTATTGAACATAATCACAGCACCAAGTCACTATTTCAATTCCACTACAATCTTGGATGCTAACCATTAGAACATCAATCAACTAGAGATGGAAACATCTTTCCACAAGAAATGAAGGAAGAACAAAAATAGTAGCACCAATTGTAACGTCATTATAAATATGTTTGTGTTTGTAATATTATTTTAGGGAATTAGTATGCAGAGCTGATTTACTTGTTTCTTACATTGCTATAGACAATCTATAAGATACATCAACTAATTAAAATTTTCAGAATATTATTACAGAAAAAATCCAAAGTTCCAAGAGCACAGCACCTGAGAATAGGTTGTACATTTTTTTTCCCCACAAGAAATACATAAAGTTTAGGTGTGACCCATAATCCTATCACTAAAGATCATGTACCCAATTTTGAGAGAGTAACCAGTTTTCATAATACGAAAAGGTGAGAGGCAGAGGCAGAACTCCTTTAACAACAATGAGGAGAAGCCCAAGTCTCAAGCATAAGGAATGCCAATCATGAATTTTTCAGTTCATATAAGCATGATAGCAAAAAATAAGGGGAGAATGCAAATATATGAAAAGAAGTATCTAACAATTTGCTTCAACATTCAAGAAACAATCTTAGTTTTGCAATATTGGGAAAATTTAGGGACTACTAGACCCATAAAACCACAAAGGAAACTCGACTACAGCTATTAATCAAAGTTTGGGTTGCATTTATGAGTAGCCCTAGTCTTATCCATAGCAGCTTCCACAATATTGGGCTCATGACCCATTTGGCTGGATACTGTTAGCACTGCCAACAACTCTTAGTTCTCCTAAATTTGGCTCATTATGAACCCTTTTTTCAAGGCCCAACCTGTGTCCTGACCAAAATGGCAAATGATGCATTGATCCAATATTGTACCAAAGTACACTGATTGCACACTTTTGGGGGGGGGGGGGGGGGGGGGGGGGGGGGGGCGGGGTTGTGTTCATACAATTTAAAAGCTCTGAAAGTGAAAGCCCTTTGAAAATGTCATGCAGCAATGCTTCCAAAAAGCAACAGAAGAAATTTTACAAATTAACATTCTATTATATGCAAGAAATGGAGTGACTAGTTCATATACACAAAATATTATTTCCAAAAGAAAGTTAAAACCGAAATTTGGTGACAAAAATCCCAATACTAAGCATATGCACACATTTGCATGTTAGGTGAGCCACAACGAGCTAACTAATACTGGGCCTAAAAAGTTCCTCACAACTTCAAAAAATAACCCTCGTGTTGATTTTGAGCTTTCATGCTATGCAAAAATACATTATCACAAGCATCAGCTTGTGGCAAGCTTCAAGGTGCAAGCATCAGTCTTTCCAATTGTATCAATAATAATATCATGAGAAATTGATGCATCTTAAAAAATGCTTCATATTGGGTTCCACCATCTCAACAAAATTTGAGGAATACTTGAGAAGAAGCCCGCAAGTAATCATGTTCAATCATGCAGGTGTAATGGGCTGGGAACTTGCCATCCGACTCAAAAGCCTAAGCTATTAGGTGGAGTTGCCTACCCACCCTTATAAGCGTAAGACATCACCATACAGATATGACGTGAGACAAAAACCTGTAACATTCTCCCCCCACCAGAACTTGCAATACCCTCATTGTGGTCGGTCCACCTTGCCTACCTACCCCTCCTAATGACAGGAGAACCTAGTAACGATCCGGACCTAGAAAAAACCCAGATGGGCGCTTGGCCTGACACTAGATCTTGAACTAGGCATCCTCTAATACCACTGATTGCCATCCAATTGCTTAAATTGTTAGGTGGAGCTGCCTACCCATCTAAGTCCAAGACCGTCCCCATCTGGATCCAAATTGGACAAGAACTTCTAACACTAGGACAGTTGAGGTTTCCCATAACTTTTAAGAGTTGTCAATTTACACGTTGACTATGTTTGACTTTTCTTTCCTCTCTCTCCTCTCTTTTTGACGTCGGAGTCTTTCACTCCGGTGTTTGCCGTTTATGTTCGTGCTTTTCGCTGTTGGATCCTTGGCTTTTTGGCAGGGTATGCATCGATCCTATCTCAGTGTCGCGACCTTACCACGCCTCAACCTCCATGGAGAAATTAAAAGTTGCTCTATTGGCAATGATATGGTTTTTAGGGTTGATCATCAAAGTATCAAGGAGCGAGAATTTGCTTTACGATCATGTTTGGTAGGTCACTTTGACAGATATGTGGGGTGTGTTCAAGGGATTGAGGTGTGGGCAACGAAAACTTGGAAGATTTCAAGTGGGGTGAAAGTCTCCCCTTTACCCGACAAGTTACTCCTGTTCAGGTTAGGTTTCCATCGGAGACTGAGGCTTTAAGGGTTTTGGATGAAGGGAGGAAGAGATGGGGCGACGTCTTATTATCCATCAACATTTGGTACTTTGCGGCTGGCTGTTCTACAGTGAAAGACTAAGTAATACGAAGGGTGATATTGTTTGGTTTGCCCCTCCATCTATGGTGCAACAAGTTATTTGAAGCAATTGGGAACTTATGTGGTGGATTTTGAGGTGTCGAGGCGAACGTCTCAGCGAGTGGGCAGAGAATCCTCCTCTATGTTTCCGTCGGAAAAGTGATGCCGGAGTACATTTTTGTTGAGGACCAACGAGTGGCTTTCAGGGTCAATTTGATAGATGAAATTACACCTTGCATTCTTCCGAAGTCCTACTATGGCGTTGGGGAGAGTACACATCCCCGCTGCTACAACGATCATTGAAGGAAGTCGCTGGAATGCACAGACCCATCAAGGTTTCAAAGGAAAGAGGCGATTGCCTCCTGGTGCGTAGAGGAGGCAGATCCAAGAGTCGTGTCATTCACGCCCTTAATCAGAGCCTTTCGCCCTCTCGTAATATCAGCGTGAAAGGTTACCAACCACGTGGCTGAGATTGGGCATTAAAAGAGATTTTTATGCAGTGGCCTTTGCTGGGCCTAAGAGTGGATCTGAAGCGGGCTATGGGCCTAACAAGGCAAATGGGCTGCTTGTTCATCACGGCCCACAGGAGATGAAGAGGGCTGTTCAATGGGGGCCTAGCAAGTCAGTTTATTTCCAGAATAAGCCCAACCCACATTCTATGCCCAAATATGAAGTTGCTAAGTTACAAAAAGGGGCCACAAGTTAGGAAGCACGGACACTCCAAAATGGGGGAAGAATCCGTGTCCGACACGTGTCGGACACGAACACGCGTCGGACACGCCCCGACACGTGTCGGACACGCCAAAAAACGTGTCTGGAATTTTTTTATTTTTTTAAATTTTCAGACACTGATCGGACACGCCACAGACACGGCTCAAACAGCTCGGATACGGCTCGGACAGCTCGGACACGGCTCGGACACACTTTTCTGGAAATTTTTTTTTTTTTTAAATTTTTAATGCTGATATGTTAATTTTTTTTTTTTTTTTTTTTTAAATTTTTAATGCTGATATGTTCTATTTTTTGTTTTGTAGTACCCTAAAAATGCTGATATATATATATACTAACCTACAGATGCCACAATTCGCCGTGTCCGTGTCCTAAAGATGCTGATATATATATATATACTAACATATCAGTGATATATATATATATTCCAACCTAAACATATCAGTGTTTTTTTTTTTTCAATTATTAATGCTGATATATATATATATATATATATACTATTCGCCGTGTCCGTGTCCTAAGTTTTTTGGATTTGCCGTGTCGCCGTGTCCGTGTCGTGTCGTATCCGTGTCCGTGCTTCTTAGGCCACAAGTGAGCAATTTGAAAAGAAAGGTTATGCGGGGGCCCAATAATATGATTTCAGTTTCTATTATTAATCCCAGGCCCAACCCACCTATTTCTACAGAAGTTAGCAACACACAGAGTTGTTGTATTAACGACACCTCTATAACTCTTTGGAGCTCACCGGAGAAGAAGAGATGGATGAATATATCTGCTACCGCGACTGGTGTAGGACCTGTCGAGAAGGGCTCTCGTCACTCTCAGTGTTGCGTAGGTATCTCATCTTCATCCCTCTTTGATACTACACAGCCAAAGGGACGAATTTTCAGATCCTCGTCTCGGGATTTTTACAGAAATCGTCACTGAGTCAGATGGTCTCGAAAAGAGAAACAAAAGTGGACTTCTACTTACGCTCCAGGTATGCCCTCAGTTTCACATCCTTAGAGCTTTAATGTTCCATCCTCTTCTCCTACCCCTTCTTGTGAGGTGTTGAGGAGTGACGCAATTGTGACGGAATCGGAGAAGAGGTGTTGGCAGTCTATAACTGTTACGGAAACTGGAACTGATTTTATGCATGGGTCGAATATGGGAGGAAAGGAAGTCAGTAAGTCTGTTGTTTCTAGGCAGATGGATCTTGCTAGCTGTGCAGTCAAGGAATTGTCAGAAGGGGTTACGGTCTGTGTGGGGAGAGACTTGCATTTTCAGTTGCCCAATGATGAGGCCGTAGCTCTGTTCAAAGAGCTTCAATTAAGTGTTGCATTGAAAGGCCTTAACTGCTTGCCTTTTGCAGGGGCTGAGGATAATGAGTCTGGTCGTTTCGCTAGATAGGCCGATTTTGCTACAGAATCAGATTCTTTTTATGTGAATGACAGAGAGTGTAATGATTCTGATTTTTCCCTTTTTCCATTTTCTAGGATTTTTCTTATTTTTTGGGGTATTTTTGTCTTTTCTCGTTTTGCGTGCGTTTCCTTGAGTTTAGAACTCTTGAAAATGCAATGGTTGTTATTTCGGCATTTTTTCGTTTTTTAGACCAGGAAGTCCCACATGGGACCCACTACCGGAATTGTTGCGTACGGAGATTTTATTTTGGGTCCATTCCATTTCATGCATATTTATTTAAGTGAACATTGGTGTGGTTACATGTTTATATTAGTGGATGGCATGACCAATGTTTAGATAAGTGTTAATGTTATCAAAGGGTGAGATATTTGTGTTATGGATGGGCCCCACAAAGTACTAACCTCATTATAGCATTTTATACATTGTTCTTGGCCCATTTTCAATCTGAAATTCGCAGCGTCTCTCTCTCTTCTCATAAACTTTTTCTCTCTCTAAAATCACACACTTTAAGCTCCAAATTCATCACCTTCCATTTGGATTTCAACTCTACCATTGAAGGCAAAGTTAATAAGCTTGTCGAGGACTACGTTTTGATGAAAGCTGATCCTTGTTTGAGGCACCTTGTCATTTTCAAATTTTGGAATACTTGGGGCTGAAATTGGAGTTTTGCTTGGGTTAATCTTCTAGTGAGGTAGGGGTCTTCCTAATGCCTCAAGTTTTATCTTTGATTGAGCAATTCTATATTCCTCTTCTTTAAAAGTTTGAGAATTGTATTGTATGATTTAATTTCAATCTTGTGAAAGAGGCATATATAACTTT